TATACTATTGATTTATTATTAAACCAAGATGACTAAGTATTAATTAGAAATTTATTTTTTATTATATTTTTATAATATAGTCATGTTACAATACAACATTGGTCCTCTATGGATATCTATTTTATATTTTGAGGTGATTTTTGCTAAGTCCTATTTTTTATCTTTTCTTAAAAATTCCTATATTAATTATTTATTTTATTTATTGTGATTTGACTTACTTATGTCCCTACAAAGTAAGTAGAAGTCTATTTTTTAAAAAAAGAAGCATTAAAAATTATTAATTTTTACTAACTCCTAGCCTTTTATCTATATATCTAAGATATATCGCTAAAGTATTTTTAATTAAGCTCTTCTATAATATAATAATTTATTTTATTCACCATATAATCATAGTACCATACAATAATGACAACAATCATAGTACCATACAACAATATATGAAAGTGAAATCATATCTATGAAGCTTCTAGGAACCTTTTCTATAAGATATTATCAAATTAATCTACTTTTATATATTATTATCTATTCATGATATTTAGTTAATTATTAGAATAAATATGTATATTTATGACACATAATTTATATGTTGTAAGAATTAAAGGGATAGAAATTTAGAATATGATTGATTCAAAAGAAGCTATTAATACTTTCTTAGTGAAATATATTATACGCACCTTATAACCATAGCATTTTAGTATTTAAAATTTTATTAGATTCAAATTAATAAATTTTAAGTCAATTAATGATAAGCAATAGCTTCTAAACTTTACATGGTCAATAATGCCTAAGTACAGATAAAGCATTGGTTTAAGAATATAAAATAAGATTATCAAAGTATAGTCTTCGATGGTTATTTTTCTTTTTTTTTTGTATTCAATCTCCCTAAAATTTTTTTATAAGGTTCATAATAGATTTTTATGATAAAATCTTTACTTTTATCTCACTAAATTTTTTACCTTAATGTTTATTATGTTGCAATTCTATATTCAAATCATCTTCAAAGAATCAATGACTTTTTTAATGAATTTTTTTAATATTTCACTTTAAAAGAAGTTAAATCCAAACATTAGATTTTGAACAATATGAGGTATATTTGAACTTTTGTATATTATTATTTTTTAAGAGCCTAAAAATCTTTTTTTAATAAGATTTGATTCTTTTTAAATTCTATAATTAGATTGATTTATAAAAAAATTTAAACAACCAACTACCTATACAATATACAAGTATTAAAGAAGATAATAGGTTTGCTTTTATTTAATCTATATAAATAAATTCTTTAATTTTATTTTTTTAATTATTTTCAGACCAAAATTACCAAATTTCAAAATATAAGAAAAAATATATAGTTTTCATAGATAAACATATTTATTTAAATAAGAATTATTGGATAAAATATAAATATAGATATATTTGATATTATTTTCTATGAAAGCTTCTTAGATACTTTATAGATGCATATTTTTCCTTATAAATATTTATAGTTGATGGATAGGTTAAAAACTTAACCAACAAATTATTCACATGTTGCATTTGTTAATAGATTGTGGAACAAACTAATTATGTGGCACACATATAAGAAATTTGTCTTATAAGTTAGATACATATCTCACAAGTTAAACATATATTGAAGATTTTATAGAATATTTCTACATAGCTCTTAATTAGATAGTATATATAGAGGCAAGAATGAAGACTTTTTCACTCTTATCAATGCTTTTTTAGTCCTTAGTCTTGTTTCAAGACTTTTTAGTCTTTTTTTTTGGCAATAGCTATTCTAATTTCAATATTGTATTAGTTTTGATTGAATATCTAATATTTTCAAGTGACACAAAAGTATATTGAGTTTCTTTTTTCTTTTTTTTTCTTTTTTTTTTTCAAATTCATATCCTTGATAGATTGAAAAGAATACTAATTCATTATTCTTATTTTATTTTTTGAGGTGAATAAATTATCTTACTTCTATTCTTGAGTTTTGAGAGTGTAGACTATCTATATTTTAACTAACAATTTAGTTTTTTAACATTGATTTTTTTTTCTTAAAAAAATAGACTACCTTTCTTTGTGGAAATCATTATTTTGTATTAGATTTTGGAAAATATCTTCTAATTTAACTTGTGAGCATATTAAAAAAATTTATGAAAGAAAAAATTATAGATGTTATATTTAATAAAAGTAAAAATAGATTTGTAACTATAGCAAACCTTTATGAATTTTTCAATATTCTTAGGATAGAAATTTCATATATTTCTAATATGAACCATGGAGGTACTATTCCTATATCTATAAAAAAAATTCAACAATGAGATTTTGACTTTATAACAGGAAGTTATGCAATTGAAAGAAATAAGTAGATTAAGATTCATGTCCTTGACAGTGATTAGATTTTTAAAATTATTAGAGTGGCTCTAAAAACATGTTAATAAGAAAAGAAACTATTGACAATAATTTATTCTATGAACTAGTATGTAAATTTATTTTTGATCTCAATTTATATTATTACTCAACAAGGAAAAAATTAATAACCTACACTATTAAACTTGAGCATGATCTTTTATATAGAAATAACTTTTTGCAAATGGCTTGACAATCAAATAAAATAATTTCTTAGACTACAATTTATTTTTAAAATACAATATTTGGTTCCAAATACACACTATCAAAAAGTCATGTTTATTCAGCTTATCTTGTACCAACAATTAATATATAGAAAGGGTGTATTGATCCCCACATTGACATCTATTATATCTTATGAGGTCTCCAAAAACCAAAAGCCAAAAACCATTCTACATAGATTCTAGAATTGTCACCTAGCTTATAAAATTTAAAATTGGTCTACTTCTCTATTATATAAATCGACTTCCAACTTTAAGGAATAAAGAGCTTAAAAGGCCTTTACATACAAGCAAGACATATTTACAAATAATACCCTCCCTTTACTACACCTTATTTTAAATATTTTTATAAGTTATAGTTTCTAAAAAGCAAACTTTGTACATATACTATCTTATTTTATTTTATTTTATTTTATTTTTAAAAAAAGAAGCATTTAGTGTCCTCTATTCTATGACTATAATTTAGCAAGAAGTAATTGAATATATGAAAATTAATTAGAAATCCATAAAGAAGAAACTACAAAAACATCTAAAATAAGACATTGACTTCTTCAAGAAATAGAATAAATCTTGGATGGCAAAATAATTCGTAGCTTGTAGAGTACACACAAGATAATTATTGGTCTGGTAATATGTAGAAGGTTCTCTAATTTTGAGACATATATATATATATATTAGATTTGCATGTCTTAAGGCTTATTTGCTTTTGAGATTTTTATGTCTTTACATGCTTGTTGGATCTAAATCAAGACTCTCACTTCTACCACAACCAATATCTCATTATAGTTTTAGAGACTCACATTTATCTATGGCATTTCGATTTGCTAACATTTATTGCATCTTCCATCTTTACATATAGCTTATAGTGTCAATCTTCAATAACTTCAAATTCAACAAATTAAAGCACCTTGAAACATATACATAAGTAAGATGATGTCATCCAATTGTAGATGAATGTCCATGTCAATAAAAATAAAAATAAAAAAAATAAAAACAATAAAAACAATAACTCAACTATCAACAAGATTCTGTGTTTTATTTGTTCTTCTCCCTTTCTATACAAGTTTGTCCTCATATTCCTAAATGTATATCTCAAATATATTTATTTTCCTATTATTTTTATATTTAGGAGTGGAATAATAAAAATTATTTATGAACCATTTAAGTATTTCTCAAAGAAAAAAAAATACAATGTAATAGTAAGAGATTTTGGAAAATAGATGTGATTATGATATCATTTGTATATTACATAAGTTGTAGCAATGTACAAAATGAAATATTTGCTCTTTGCATGTGATTGAGAATACCAATTTTTTAAAGAATACAAAGTTTTTTTTAGCATAGTAGTAATATAAATTGTAAACTTGATCTTGATGGAACTAATTCATCAAAAGTGATCAGATTAGGGGAAAAAAATGACATCTCAGACTTCCAATTACATTAAATGATAGGTATATATTTTGCTTTTATCAGAAGAATCAGCTTGGTGCCCAAAATGATTCAATGCATAACATTATCAGCTATGACTTTAATAACTTTTATGAATATACATATATATATATATATATATATATATATATTGTTTATTTGTTTATTTGTTTATTTATTCGTGTACTTTTATTCCAATTTCAACTACAATTTTAATTTACAATTACTTTTTAAAATGTATAGCTATTGTGATAAAATATTTTCTTGAAATCTACCATATCATAAAGTATTTTGTTCATAATCTCTCTTTACATTTGGTATAATTATTGATTCTATTCCATGAATTCACTATTTTAAAATTTGCAACATATAAATTCAATTCAAAATTCGATGTTTGACATAAACATTATATTTAATTCTGTATGGGCTAACTGTTGTAAATTACGATTACATTAACTTTTTTAAATGTCGTGAATGACGAAGCATCTCAGTATTATCTGTAACAGTACAGTAAGTACTCTAGATTCCGTTTCAATTCAAGATGAAGGTTGAGAATGTAAATTGTGTAAACGGTACTATAGCACTACACCTAGAGTTCAGGTGGCAAATGAATCTTGCACAGAATTTGAGTTGACAGATTGGTCGGAAAGAGATGGCTCTAATTTCAGTTGACTACTTAGTTATGGATTATTATGTATTGTAACAATGAGTTCTTAAGTGCAGAGGGATTTGAGTATATCTGAAAATGTCCTGATTCGAGCAGAAATGTGCTGCATACTTAATGTCTGCTACGCTAGTCGGTAAGAGATAAAAATGTTTGCTGGGATACCAGACCTGAAGCGTGTTTCTGCTAGATGAGTGTAACTCACAACGCCGGTGAACCAGTGAAGTGTACAAGTCTAGCAGAAAAAGGTATCCCAGGGTTGCAACTCTGTGTCCAAGTGATGCAATTCCATATGCCACTGAACTATTGATTTCAAACAGCCTGTGAGCAACTTGCTAGGTGCAATCCCAGGTGGAATACATAACAGTGCAGTGACACCCTCGTTAACAAAAAAAGGGGTGGCAAGGATCGTCAGTGAAATGAGATTCCACTGTGCTAAAGGTTAAATTCTATAATCAACCCGCTGCAGAGTCTAGGTTGCGAAGAAACTTTGGACCGATTGTGCAGGAGCATCAGGGGCACTTAGCAAGAAATTCTACTAAGATGGCAAAATGAACATGCAGGTCGAGACTAACAACCATGTCTGAGCTCAAGTAGGTGCGAACTTCATTACGAGATGGCCACGCCAGCACAAAGAAAACAACCCTGAAGACTGCCTATCATATAATCCAATCCACACCAAGTCCTACGACTTGATTGCCGAAATTAATCAACCTACGCGGCAGCACCCTTGCCCTTCTTCTTCTGGATCTTCTTCTGGTAGAACTCGAGCTCCTTGCCTTCCAAAATATATCTGCAGAATAACAACACCCACGAATTGATTAAGTTGCAGCATGCCGAAAAGCCCGTCCTGCGTATATTAAGAGACTAGAGTTCAGAGAAGGGTATCGTGAAGACCGCAGAACTCAATCACTTCTCGAATTAAGAGATGAGCGGCTGCGTACCCGTCGGATCGGCCACACTGTCCGGGTCGAGATGAAATGCACGCAAGCAACCTTCCGCTGGCGAACTGGTCCTCCAAATGAGCGTCAAGCTTCTGGCCTTCAGCTCTCTTGGCGATCTTCCTCAACACATGGCTACTTTGCTTTTTCTCTTCTTCAGTAGTCTCAGCAACCTATAGTTTCAGTGTAACCAGAACCACAACAGTGTTAGGACATGAACTGTGCTACCATTGTTCGATCCTGTAATCGTTTCAATTGAATTGTACAGAGTCCGATGAAGCTACAGCTCACTCGTCGAGATTGAACAATACCTCCTCTTTCTTGACAGCGGCCTTTTTCTTCTTGCCGATTTCTACACCGTAGTGCTGACTGTACCAGGTACGGAAGGGAGCTGCATCGACCTGGATGATGGCATTTTTCACCAAGGTCTGAGTACGAACAAGCTCATTGTTGGACGCGTTGTATACCACGTCCAAAATTCTCGTCTTGCGGGTGACGGCCTCAGAACCCCATGAGAAATTTCCAGTATCCAGACGCAGAGCCCGGAACTTGGAGTTTCCTCCACGTACTCTGATACGCCTCACAGTCTTGTTGCTAGACAGCTTGGTCATGGCACCCTGCCTTCCCAACTCGTACTTGCGCTTCTTGCGCCATGACTTCTTCTTACCTCCGGTTGCCCGTCTCTTGTGAGTTGAATCCCTGGAGATACCTGCACAGAAGATCAACCTGATCCTATTCAGCGCCTAGACCTCTCAATTTTAGCCATACATCTTGCATCCCATACACGAGACAACACGTGCCATAAAACTTGCATTTTCAAATTTTCAAGATCAAATCATCGGGAAACCACTGAGAACCGTGAGCATTCCACTCCAAACATTCTGCTCGTGAACTCAACCACAGAGTACCGACAGCGGTACACCCAGGAATGCTAAACGCACTAATGTAATGATCAACAACCCAGACACATCCTTAATAAGAAAGCGTGAAAGAGGAGAATTAGGAACAGATCCATACCAGAGTTAAGCCATCGAAGTTAATAACAACTATGGATGGAAAATGCAAGAGAAAGTGGTGCAACAAGCACATGAAGCACAACAACCAGTGCCACAAAGCAACGAATTACAAAAACACAATGCGGAACGTACCCATTGCCGGTGCTGGAGCTCGTCGCTGCCACAGGAGCAAACGGAAAGGAAGAGTGTTGGAGCAGCCGTCCCGTTATTAGGGTTAGCCAGGACCTCATGGGCCGGGCGGGTGGCCCTCCGTTCCATCGGGCTGGGTAATCGCTCCCCACTTTCCCGACTTAGGGCTCCAAACCCTAATTGATGTAACCTCTCATCAGACAGAGCCCCGCAGGGCTTCTTCCCCTGTGTGTTCTCCAACATGGCTTCAACATTATGCCCTGGATGAATGACGTCATTTTGATAAATGTATGCGTGAGCTATTTCCTCTTCGTTTTCTTAATTTCGCTTCTCACGAATAAGATTTTTGTGTCTATATCACTTCTCCTTGTAACTTTTTTGAGAAACAGCTATTTTATACATTTGTATGCTTTTTGAATATTTGTAATTTTTACATATAAACCAAAATATTTAATATATAGTTAAAATAAATTTAGACATACAAAGTAATGTGGTATATGTATCAATGTGATATTTTTATACTAAAATCAGTTATGGCAATAAGGTTTAAATAATAAATATTGTAATTTATTGCATATATTATTTAATTAAATGTATAAATATATATATATATATATATTGTGTATAAAGTTTTAGTACAATAAAGATAAATTTAATAACAGAAGTAATTTATTTGATGCCAATTTTTAATAAATATTTTACAAATTTTTTATAAAGTACAATATTCAAATATTGTGATAGTGTTTTATAAATGTAGTCTAATAATATACATTTTGATATATGTAAAAAAATTATTTTTAAAATAAAAAATATTTTTTAATAAATTTATTATGAAATTTTTATTTTTATACATGAATATATATATATATATATAAAGCTTAAGGTAACATCTACTTAAAATCTTCTAATTTATTACTATTTATATTAATATAATTTCAATTGATGTTTTAAAAAAAAATTATCAAACTATAATATTTAGAAACTTGTAATATTAAATAATATTTTAGAACTATTACTTTGGCACCATTAAAAAAATAATGAAAACCATCTTCTTAATTTAAAAACATCATCAACAACACATCTTACTAAGCAACTTATTTATTTTGAATTTTCTTAAATGACACTGACTTAGATTCTAATTAGCTTAATTAACATAAGAAACAAAATTTACACATATTAGAGGCCTCAAAAAATATTAATAAGTTACGATCTAACCACCATTCTAATTTATATATCTATATTTACCTTAAAAATGATGCAATTCTATTATTTAAAGACACTCATATTTTTAAAAAAATCCATTTATTGATCTATTTTCTTAATGTTTAAACTATACTCTTAACCAATGCTTAGGAATTCTCTAAAGAAATCAATATGTATTTTATAATATTTTAAACTATTCTAGGAATATTTCTACAAATCTTCTTATTTGCACCTCAAGATCTTTTTAAGACATCTAACAAGACCTTTGTATTAAAGTCTTTATATCAAGCCAATAAGTTTTTGTGAAGTAGATACTCTTTAACTCTAAGACTCTTGCAAATTTAGTTGATGTAATTTGTAAAAGTAATAATTCCATCCAAAAATTAACTTAAATGAAGAAAATTTTGGAGTCTTACAATGAAGACAAGTTATTTTAAAGCATGACCTTAAAGTATCACCTTCAGATTTTTTAATAGCACCATAACTAAGCTAAGAATATTGATTTTTTCTAAGATACCTCAAGTATCTAAGGCTTCTAAAAGAAGAAAATAATTTGCTCATTTGTTTAATTAACAGAATTTGATAAATCCTATTCCTTCCTGCAATATTAAATAAAGGTGTAAATTACAACTTTCTTATTAAAAACCACATATCAATGCTTTAATTGGTCCATAACTTTTTTTTGATTATATATTATTTTTGATATGGCTTAAAATTGGACATATGATATATGTATGACAATTTATTATTTGTGTGGATACTTATCAATTTTTTACTTATTTCATTGCAATCTTAAAAATATTACTATTTTAAATAATCTAAATATTTAATTTTAATTTTAGTTTTATTTATTTATTTATTTAATTATAAATCTATAAGTCTTGATTCATAAAAAAATAGGATATGATAAGCAATTTAAAATAAAAAAGTGGAAATTGCTTCTTTTTTTTATTTATTATACAAATTTGTGAAGTTTTGGTTGCCATTCTTAAGTATCCATCTTAAGATTTGATATGAAGACACTTCTTAAATATGTAGAAGAATGTATGAAATTATTGAAGAAATATAGTAAACAAAATACAAGTAAGTAGAAATAAAAAATATTGCACATACAAGAAGATAAGTGTGGAATGAAATGCCTCTCACTTCCAACATTCTTTATTTATAGGAGGAGTTTACATCTATTGTATTTGAACTTCATTTATAATAATCTTCATTCTTCTTTGTTTCATCCAACTAAACCTTAGATTTTTCTTAACCTAGCCACCATATTAGTAATTTACTTTGAACTTTTTACTATTCTTTGATCATTAACAACTTACTTACGATGATATCTTTTATATAGTATCTTATTCTTACTTCAATAATTTAATACTCTCACTTTGCTATTGGTTAAAGGCTTTTAAACCTAATGTCTTTATCGACTTTTGATGCCTATTATTTATAAGTACTTTTATTAAAAAATTGGCAAGAATGTCTTCTATTGTACAAGTCTAATGTCTTCTAAAACTTTTTTTTAGCAAAATTGCATCCATTGCACCATAACTTATTGCCATATATTTTGCCTTCATTGTAAACCTTGCAATTCCATAAGATTGTTCCTACTCCAATAAAGAATACATATCTTGTTGTTGACCTTTTATCATTTCCATCTCCAACTCAATTTACATCATAATAACCATGTAATGCAATATTATCTCTTCAAAGAAACAATTTGAAGTTCAAATTGCCTTTCAAGTACTTCATAATCTTCTCAATAGTTATTTAATGAATTAGTCGAGTTTTTCATATGTGTTGACTTATAATATTCATTGCATATATAAGATCCATCTTTGTTCCAACTATTGTGTACATAAGTGAGCCTACTATTGCTTTGTATGGAACATCTTTCATTTCATCTTCAATTATAAAAAAACTCTTCATCCATGATCTTCATCAACTTCAAATTAGCTTCCAAAGATGTTCCAATGGACTTGTAGTCTTCCATTTTGAATTGTTTCAACACTTCTTTAATATACTTGCTTTGGCTTATTGTAATGGTCTTGTTATTACAATCTTTTTCAAACTCTACTCCTAAATAATAGTAGAGCTCTTTCAAATTATTCATTTCATATTCTTTTTTTAACTTTATCTTCAATCAATCTATCTTTTCCATAATATTACTCAATATGATTAAATCATCAGCATAGACAATGACAATCAATATGAATTCATTTGGTTGCATCATATACATGGAATTATCAACCTCATTCCTTATAAATCCATCATTCACAAAGAATGTGTCAATACGTTGGAACCATATTCCTAGTGATTGTTTTAGTCTATACAAAGATTTTTTCAACTTACAAATAAGGTGTTGTTTGCCTTCTTTGACAAATCCTTAAAATTGACCCATGTAGATGTCTCTTTCAATTTTTTATTTAAGAAAGTTGTCTTTACATCTATTTGATGCATGACAAAGTTTATTGCTACCCTAATTACAACAATGGTTCTAAAAATAGTAAATTTGGCTATAAAAACAAATATCTAATTAAAATCAACATCAACCACTTGTGAGTAGACTTTGGCAACTAATCTTACCTTATATCTCACAACTTTATCCATTGCATCTTTTTTGGTTCTAAATACCGACTTACAACCTATTAAAGATTGATTTGATAGAAGTTGAGTCAATTCTCATGTTTCATTGTCCATGAGTGATTTGTACACTTTTTCCATAGACTTCTCTCATTTCATAGCATATGTGGACTTTATTGCATCACACAAATGCAATGAATTAATAAAAAATGTAATATTGGCATGTTCTTTACTTACTTGAAGAAAGATGTCATTCTTCTATCATTCACCAAATGATTTTTATTATTTTTTTTTCTTCTATCAAATAATATATTTTTTTATTTGAAGAAAATTCATCTTGTTGCAATCCATGCTCTCTTCCATGCTTCTTCTCCTTTAAAGCTTGTATTTTCTTACTTAAAGATTGGTACTCCTCATCATCATTATCATCATCTCTAATATCTTTGTTGCTAGTTCTAGGAATTATAGAGGTCTTCTTCTTCATCTTCTTTATTTCTTCATCTTCATTCATTCCTCTATCATCTTCATTGTTATTATCTTGTTCTTTTTTCTTTATTGGAATTAAAGATGTGCCCACAAACACACCATTACTCCTACTTGGACACATCTCCAAGTACTCACAAATACTTTAATGCTTCAAAAATTTAATATTTTGACTTTTGATGATGATCTTGGTATCCAAATTCATAAGCCTATATGCCTTGATATCATCACAATATTTAACAAATACATATTTTATACCTTTTGCATCAAGTTTAGACCTCATACAATCTGATTTCTTTATATAAGCAAAGCATCCTAAAGTCCTCATATATGAAAAATAAGATTTCCTTCTACTCCATGCTTCTTTTGGAATCATTGATGTAAACATACTTATAGGACACTTATTCCTTACATACACCACATTCACCATGACTTCTTCCTAAAATTGAGGCCTAAAGTATTGAACATATAGCATACTCCTTGTTATCTTTATAATGATTTAATTTATTTTTTCAATAACTCCATTTTGTTGTAGAATGTATAGAGTAGAGGTTTATCTTGTAATACCTTGAATCTTCAAGAAATCATGAAAATACTTTGATAAGTACTCACATCCATTATTTGCATGCAATACTTTGATTTTGTATTCACATTACTTTTTCATAAGTGCCATAAAGTCCTTAAACCTTGAAAAGTACTCATTCTTGGATTTGAAGATGAAAATCCATAACTTCCTTGAAAAATCATCAATGAATGTGATAAAGTACCTTGCTCCTCCATTTAATAGTGTCCTCATCAGTCTACAAATATTTGAATGTACAATATTTAATAACTTTCTCATACATGTTGCAACTATACTTAGAAATGATGCCCTTTGTTGTTTGCCTTGGATACAACCTTCACAAGTAAGAAGCATGAAATTATTCCATAATTGTCTAAGATTCAAGTTACTTACTATAGATTGGAATTCTTTCATGCTATTAGCATTCAAATGACCAAGGCATTAATGCCAAATGCCAAATTTGTCTTGATCATATCAAAACTTAACAAATGTGGCTACTTCAATTCCATTCACCTTTTTATATTTAATAAAGTAGAGATTGAAATTTCCATCCAATGTCTTTACAAAGCATTTATTATTATCAAATTGAAACTTATAACTATGTGAAACTAATTTATTCACCGAAAGGAGGTTTTTCTTAATCTTGGGTATATACAAGATGTCTTTTAATTTAATCTTCTTGATTTGTCTTCTCACAATAATCTCTATAGTAGATTCTATTCTAATAGCTTATACCATGTTATTATCTTCTATAAAAATATTTATTACCAATTTTTTTTATAAATATTAAATGAACACTCATATAGAGTCATGTGCTTGGTGGCACCAAAATCAACAATCCACTTAGATATGGTAGCCATGGACATGCTTTCATTTGCAATGAATACAAAAGTATCTCTTCAAAATTATTTATGTATATTATTGGCACTTTCTTTATTTATTTATTTATTTTTGTCTTATAGCAATTTTATGTAAAATGACTCAATTTTCTACAAATGAAGCAAGTTTTCACATTGCCATATTGATTAGAATAGTTCTCTTTGCCTTGTTTTGAAAAGAAAGCTAAATCTTCATTTTGAGGTTCTTTCTCTTTTCTCTTAGTTACTTCATAGGCAAATCTTCCTGTTATACAATCCATTATAAGTTCTTTTAACTTAATGGAGTTTAATGCCACAATAAGGTTGTTGTAGGACTGGAGAAGGTTCATAAGCAAGGTCATGACAATATCACCATCTTCCAAAGGCTTGTCAACAATTGCTGATTGATTTGCAAGAGCCATTATCTTATTAACCAGAGACATGTTGTATTCATCTTTTTTCATCTTGCATATTAAGTATTTTCTCTTTGTGAAAATGATATTAGACAAATTCTTGCTCTAATATGTGTTGCAAAGGTTCTTCCATGCTTCTACTAGTCCTTTACAAGAGATAATATGAGAAAAGTGTGCATCATTCAAATTAGTGGTAATTATGCTAAAAGCCTTCTTTTCATATCTTTTGAAGTCCTTCTTCTCTTTAATATTTGCATATATGCTTGGAGGCTCTTCACTTTTATCTACAATATTCCAAAAGTCCAAAGATGCCAACAAAAGCTCTATTTTGACCTTCTAATAGTAGAAATTGTTCCTTTTAAACTTTTCCATTACTCTCAAACCTTCATCCTTAGTAAAAGCCATATCAAAGAAGAATTTTATCAAAAAATAATAAAAAAATAGAGTCTCTATGTGTTCAAAATCACCAAAACAATTTTATACTAGCAAAATCTCAAAATGCTTTCTTGTGAACAATTGAATGTTTTTTCATTCAAAACACTTTTAACTCAAGTTTTGAAGCTTCTAACAAATATTTGTACTCCAATGAACCTTAATATCAATATTTTTCACTCTTTCAAAATAGTTTTTTTACAATACATACAAGATAAGTGAAACAACTTCAACAATATAAAAAGATACTATCAAGGTCTTTATATAAGGTCTTAAAGTCACAATCATAGGAGTTAAGAATCCACAAAATAATGTTATAGATGTATAAGGTCAAAATCAATACTTCCTTTTGCCAAAATATAAGTTTAGATCTTATAAATCCTAACATCAGCAAATACCATAAGATTTATTCTACACAAATACAACCACTAGAGAATGACATCAAATTACTTGAATAGCACAACGAAGTGTGTGTAGATCCATAATCTATTGAAGAAATACAACAAAAAAAAACACAAGTAGAAATTAGACACAAGAGAAGTGTGGAATGAGATGTTTGTCACTTCCAACACCTTTTACTTGTAGGAAGAGTTTACATCTATTATAATTAAACTTCATCTATAATCATCTTTTTTGATTCATCCAATTAAACCTTAGATTCCTCTTAACTTAGTCACCACTTAAAATCCTAGGCACGCCATTAGTAACTTTCCTTCAATCTTTTGCTATCCTTTAATTATTAACAACTTATCTAAGAAAATATCTTCTACATAGTATCTTATTCTTACCTTAACAACTTTAATAAAAATCATGTTATACATACAAACAAAAATAATTATATATTTTTTATATATAATTATAATATATAGATATTTTTTTATAAAATTCAAACTCAAATTTTTTCTCCAAAAAATCCATTGTAGAAAAACACCACTAAGATTGATTATCTCACTTTAATTGACTTCACCATCATTTATTTTCATAAACAACATAAAGCATATGAATCGACCTTAGATGGAGGGCTTTGAATTGAGACAACCTACACAAAAAGACAAAAAGAAAAAAAGTAGTGACAATAATAATAATAATAACAATGTAAACAATAAAATAATAAAGAAAAGCAAAATTCCACGACTTTGCGAACTCAAGTCCACGTGGACATCCAAACGAGACAGGTTTGTGCTGACTCACGTGCCACGTGGACCTGCACTGCCGTTGTCGTCGCGGAATCCCCCGCCTCCTCGTCCCTCTCCACAGCCCCGATGGCGCCATCGCCGACGAGAAGGGGGGGATTCCAAGCCCTTCCTTGCCCGCAAATTTCCCACACCACATTCGGGCATTCATTCTTGCATTATCGATCTTCTTCTTTTTTTTATAAAAAATTGTGAGCGGTGTGGAGGATTCCGTAGCTTTCAAGGTTCGGAACAGGGAGTATTATTATGGTGGTGGTCCAGTGATCCAGGCAGGGGGGCGCATTCGGGAACACTTGGTTTGAGTGCGCGGTGCTGCTGGTAATTCCCTTTGCGGAGATGGCGGGGGAGACGATGGAGTTCGAGGTTAAAGGCGGGCTCCTCTCTAGGGCTGCACGCTACTGGAAGATGGGATCCGCCAGCTCGCGCAAGGGCCTCCCCCTCTTGCTAGCATCGCCGCTTTCTCCCAACGAGTGAGTTGTTTTTCGATTCCCACAGTCCTTTGCGTGGCTTTCCCAACATTCGCGTCCCAAATTTTCTCCAGCTCGCCCGTACCGTGTTGAGTGATTCTATAGGCGTGGACATTTGGCGTTTCTGTATTTTGGGTGACATGGTTTGGTGACGAGGTTTCGGAGCATTGGAATTAATTATAGGCTGAAAACAGCTTTTTTAGAATTGTCGTAAGGCCATGCAGCGATTCTTCTTTGATCCTCAGAATCTCAGCTCGCAATCTGCTGGCCAATGTGAAGAATTGTGCTGCTAGAATGATTTTTTTCGGCTTTTAAGGGTTGTGTAGTGTGCTTCGAAAATTTTCTGTCTTCATCTTATGTCTTGCAAATGAGGAAGTGGTGGTCATGATGAAGTACCCTAATTTCCAAAAGTTGTCTTGCTGTACATATGGCGATTGTGTAAATACTAGGTGTTCGAGCGATTTTAGAGATAGTTTAGCTGACTTTTCTCTGACCATGGCTGACGAACTTGAATTAGAGTAATTCATCTCAAATTTATTGGTCATGTTTACCCGTGCTGGTTTTGATGGTCAAGGGATGAGACTGGCCCAGTGGAAAAGGTGGTGGATGTTATGAGCATCACAGTAAACCAACTGCTAGAGCACCTTCATGGTGTCACCAAATATCTGGACTTTTGGCAGAAATTATCGGAGGTGATATTCTTGTCCTCCATTTTCCCGCATTCCATTAGAACTTACTGTTTCATTTTGATATGCATTTACGGCAATCAGTTCCATTTCAAATTGGGCGCCGTGAAAGCACATATCCTTAAACGCACTTTCTGTGTGTTCAGCATATCACAAACATCCATTCTCGATTCCTCTAGTGCACCGTTGATTGTTAGAGCAATTGGTAGCGTGCTGGATGTGTGAAGAGCAGTTTCGACGAACCGTGCTGTGGTTGAGAGTTTCTATTCGAAAGCTGACGTTTGGTTTTATGGGAGGCAGGGCGAGGATAACGAAAAATTGTCGTTTATGATGTTTGAAAGGGGACCGTGGGCATTTTTTCAAGGGATCAAGTTGTTCATTCGAGCATCCTTTGTAGAGGCTTCCCCTGGGAAAGAGCTTATAGCAGCAGCAAGTGCTCGTATCTCTGAGAGGGTTGCTGTTCTTGCAGACCTGCGCGAACGGCTTGCTACTGTCACTGGACAGGTAGGTGTCTCGCAGTACCATCAGTTGTCTACAAGGGTCTAACAGGAATTTTTTGCGACTTGCCCTGTGCCTTTGTCGGAATCGACCAGAGTTTCTCTTTATCCTTGCTGTATGAAAGGCTGGGCAATTGATTGGGTCGTGCGATAGCTTCCAGATGGTGTTCCCAGTCACATACTTTATAGCAATGCTGAACATCAACGGAGTCTTAATCAACTGATATTTTGTGCGGCTTTTTGTTACTTTTAGGTGCATATAGAAGTGGATAAAATGGGGGAAAAAGTAAGCAACGGGCAGAAAAGTCGGCTGGCTTCCTCCGAGTGCACAGTGGCAGTACTCAAGGCTCTCTCTGTTTTAGAAGGAGGATACCGGCTACCACAGGCAGGTGGCTTTACTGTTTCATCGTTGTCACAAATCCACGCTGGCCATTGCTTCTTGTCATATTTGGAGGATTGATAGTTGCATTCGCTTCTACTCATGTGTTGATTGAGCAAATCATGTTTTGTGACCAAATCTCGCAAGTCTCGTGTTTAATCTGTATCTGCCTGTCATAATATTGAACAGGGTTCTTTAGCTAGAGAATTGACACTTGATTCTTTTTGGCAGAAAGATTATTACAATCACGGTGTTTTATCACAAGCAGTAACAATTGTTCTGGACTTCGAAGAGATACCAGATATACTTGCATGCCGGCTGGAATGGTCAAACAATGAGCTTGACGATGCTCTTAAATTAGTCTCTGATAACATGTGGAAACTACAAAACTTTCTGGATACTGTGGTAAGATTTGGTTAGTCTCTCAGTACTGACACTCTAAAGCCCAGGCCAGATCATGCTAGGCAGCTCCTGCAGTAACGTTTATCTCTGAAGTAGAAGTATTGCAATCGGGGTGGTTGGAGTGGCTAATGCATCCATTATTCTTTTCCAGTCTTTTTTCTTTTTCTTTTTGAAGCGCTTTTCTAGTATTTTGTCAGTGCGATTGGCTAGGGTCATATAAATTATTTGGTATGTGTGCCTGAACACTTCATATATTTGGATCCTGCAGAGTTGATTAAAGAGCTTTCATAACATACGTTCTATTTTTAGTTCTTCGTTTTTAATTTTTTAATTTTTTATTGTTTGGCAGATGTGGCAATATCGGCGGCCACGGAAGGTAGTGAGAAATTGGATACAATATACTGGGGGTGCACTCGGATTAGGAATAGTATCTAGTTGGCTGTTCCGTCACAGCCGCTTAGGTGGCAGCAGCGATCTCGACCAGTGGACTAAAGAATCTGTTCAGGCTGCATCTAGTTTCTTGGAAGAACACGTTCAACAACCGGTATTTTTCTTTTACACACTACTATGTGTTCTATGAAGCGTTAATCTACTCCTAGATCGGACATGTTGAAGTTCTAAATTGCAAATCGTTATTTTGCATGGCGATTCACCAATATCTCTTGTACCTGTGATTTATGAAACCAACATTGTAAGAATCTGGGTAGAAGAAGGCCGTCATTTTCTAATAAGCGGGGCCACTTTTGAAGCGTTTTTAAGTGCGAATCTTACTGTGACAGCTTCAATCTATCAGAGACGATCTATTTGACACTTTTCACAAGAGACATAGAGTTGGGCATGAACTTGGCGACGTGCAACTTACAGCTGAATCTTTGCACAGGTTAGACCTTTCATATGACGATTTTTGGATTCTTACGCCTTAAGTGCCCCTCTTTCCAAGAAGTCTCCCTCTGTTTGGAACGCTAGTATTTAATACACTTCACATGGATCGAAATGGTCGGTGGTTGTTCTAAAAGAACTCTTTAGAATGCTAAGATTCCTCTTTTTGAACAGTCTGTTTGTGCATATAGTGATCATCTCTTTGCGACGCCATTCTTTTTCTATGTGAGTTTCAACTCCTGAATTCTTTTTTTGTGGTTCACAGGATGTTGAAGGAGTTTGTGGCACAAACCAAAGGTAATGCTGCAGCAGAAAACTCGTCAGAGCAACAGTTAATGGAACTCATGATGAGCAGGTATTCGTGTGATTTGGTTTGATGCGGGTGTACATTATTGGTCACGAGAAAATTGATATCTTAGTGGGTTCGAGTTTTCAGTTCTGTCGCTTATCGTATGGGTTGTTGTTTGTCTAGGACTTTTATTGTGTTTATTGAAATATTTATTTGCAGGGTCAAGCTTTTATGTTTTCACTTTCCTTATTCACGTGTTTAATGTGCAGATATGAGACAGAATTAACTCACCCCGTGAGAAACATTTTTGGCGGAGAACTTGCTAGAGCTCTGCTTATCCAGGTTAATTTTGCGCCTCTTTTGCTGTTATTGCGAACTCTAGTTTCAAAAGAAATATGAAATGATTTGTCACAAAGCGCTTTGAAATTCATTTATATGTTGAACGTTTAGCTGGTTATCAGAACATTCGGTCTGTTAAGACTACGATGTCATTGGTAAGAAAAATCAATTCTTTGTGCTTGTGCGCTTCATTCATTACTTCTGTTACGTGAAATTATAAGTGACCTGTAGCCTGCATCTCTCTTTGTGCTGGGTAGGAAATAAAGGTGCAGCCAAGAGCACCAATTTCTTATTGAGTGCAACCAGTTAAACCTTTTTTCTTTACTAAAATTCTTATGATAAAAAACAAAAAAACGAAAACTATTTTGTGCAGGTGCAAAAGTTGAAGCTTGATGTTGAAACGTAAGTTCTTTTAATCATTTCTCTTCATATGCACACATGTACTCCATCTTTTTTGATTCTTCAAATTGGTTATGTGGATCTTTTATACAAAAGGTCGTGGTCCTTGAATCATGTTTCCGTTGGCATTCATTTGTCAGCAACCACTTTTAGTTGTCAAGGGGAAATGTTGGTATTATTTTGATCCTTATCATTGAGAGTTGTCTGATTTCTCGCAGGGCGATGCTAGACCTTAATCAAATTTTGCGTGCAAATGAAATTAACTTCGCGGTGTTGGCAGCTATGCCGGCGTTTCTTGTTGCTCTCTTCGTCGGATGGCTTTTGAAGAAGCCATTCACTGAGGTATGTTTACAAGATATCAAGTTTCACATCTGTTACACCAGGTAAGCTAACAGGCTGTTCTATGATCGTCTGAAAATAATCCCAAGGAACTTGATACGTGACAGTGTCGTTGATGTAGGATGTTAAAAGGGCAGAAGGACGTGGAAGGAAGGCTCAGCTGCTTCGTCGCATGCTGATGGTGAATGTTGAGAATGCGATTATGACTTTTCAGATGTGTGTGGATGAAGACCAGGTTAGTACACAATGTATGTCATTATTTCATGAGTCTAACTTTTTCCTTACAACAAGACCTCACAATGGACACTTACAAACTGTACTTTTGATCGTTGTTCAGGAGGATGCATTTGCTCAGTTTGGAACACTCATATATTCCCTTGATCGGTTACACAAGGCCGTCAAAAAGCCTGCTATAGAATCTGGAGAATGGTCAAGGTCAGATCCAGTTTTTGCTCTTTGTAGAATAACACCGAAGCTGAGGTTTCACAGCTGTATGGATCTTCTCCTTGGAGGAATTCATGTATGATCTGTTTTAAGTGAACTTTTATCGTAATAGTTTGCTTCAGATATATTGTTTCAGAGTTCCATTGACTAGTATACGAAAGATATTGACTCTCCTTTTCAAAGATTTATTCTTGTACCCTTGTTATTCAGTTATAAGAAATATTATAAGGAACAACAGCATTTAGTTTTAGCTTTAAGGTACTTTCGTCTCAACTCACACTCTGCAACTTTTCGCTTGCAGTTTGGAGAAAGACATTGTCGAACTTGCAAAACCAAGGCTATCCACTTACTACAAGCTTGCGATTGCAGGCCGCATGGAGCGCGTTTACGAAATTCTGGTGCCTATGCCTAAATTGAGGTAGACTGTACACAGTACAGTGTGAATATGAGAAATAAAATTAATTGCACTTTTTTCCTATTTTAAATTCACTTGCTTCTTTAGTGTGCTACGTCAGTTTTTATCAAATTTCACTCCACACTATATCTTGAATTAGACCCATGTCTACTTTGTCTTCGTGCGTGAGCTCAGAGTTATAATTGGACACTGATTACCATACTTGGTTCAAAGGTGAAGAAACTTATTACTGAATGAGCCCAATCTTATAAGCTCTTTTCGTCCCGTCTTTTCGCCTTCTTTTTCTTTTCTTTTTCATCATCTTCATCTTTCCATTTCTCTTTTCTTCTCTTCAGTGTTGTTTTATTATTTTCTCTCTCTCTATCTATCCTTTTATACATATATTCATATGTATAATTTTTTAGCCTTCAATGCACAAGTAGCTGATCAGAATAACTGATCAGCCGCACGAGGGTTTTGTAATGAGCAATTTCATGTGCCTGATTTTGATTTATTCAACGCCGATGGTGAAATAAAGCAACATGTTATTATATTTAATATCGTTATTATTACTAAAAGTCTTTTCACATGCCTTAATTGAGAATGGGATGTTAGGTTGATACGATTGTATCTCTAGTTGTTAATGTAGGTGGGAAAAAAGTTGGAAAGAATGGGTAAAAGAAAAGAGAACACGAGTAGAGAGTTCACGTATATTGGATCATTTACCATAATTTTTGTCATTGAAGTCGTATTATCAGAGGTTTTCGATTAGAGCAAAATTATTAACTTCATGTTTGGTGGATGAGTTGGTCTTTGATTTGATTTACGTATTTTACTAATAATGTCACCTAATTTTGTGATGATTATCATTTTCAACACATACTGCTTACACATATTTCTCCTGTAAGTACATTTTACATTAGTTTCATGTCTTCACAAGTTGATGAAGCTCCTTCCGCTAAAAGAATAAGTCAAAATGAAGAAGAAGAAAAAAAGCTACAAATCAAATCAAATATTCTTTATCAAAGAACTTGAAGTAAAAAAATCTTGAATTATAAATGATTTAAATTCTGAAAGATAGGTTTATCGCTCAACAAATTTCAGTAACGAATTTCAGTAACGAATTTCAGTACAAGTTAGAATTTTGATATTTTTATTTTTATCTTATTTTTTCTGTTTTTATCTTATTTTTAAAAATAAAAAATGAAATTATGTTAGAATCCTGAACAATTCTTATTCGGAATTAATTACAATAAGTGATTATTCAAAAATGGAAGCAATAATCCTCATTGTCCACTAGTTTCAAAGCCCATCTATTAGGAAGACTGTCGAGGCCAATCTGTGGAGGGAAATCCTAGCTGACACAAGAATGCCGACTTGGCGCCATCGCATTGGCTTAAGTACGTGCTTGTCGAGCCACGTCAGAATCACCACGTCACGCGGTCGACAATGCCTCCAAAGTCTCGCTGTGATATTCCACCACCTTGCCCTCTCCCGGAAGCTGCCACTCTGGACTGCCTCCGTCGCATTCGCCTCTCCGGCAGCTAGAAAAGCCCGTCGCCAGCGATCATTTTTTGCTGTCTCTTTACAGTTTGCATCACCCCAACTGTTTGAATTCCTCGTACAGAAAAACCCAGTTTCCCAATTCTTGTGAGCGTGAGATGATGTGGCGCTAGTAGCGTCGATGGTGGCAGGAATTCCTCATCGGGAAGTGTGGGAGGCCGTGAATGGCAGAGGTTTAGAGCTTTCACGAGTTTTCCCGCAGTTTAGAAATGGGTTGTGGTTGAACACGGGTATGTTTCTGGATCAAATACGAAGTCTCGATGGCAGTAGCTTCACTGTCATCCCCGATTGTTGTCTGTAATACCTTGATTTGTGACTGTCGACTTGATCGGTCTTTGATGAGTCGGAGAGTTGGGGCACCTCGGAATTTTGTCGTAGTGGAGAAGAAATCCTGTGCGTCTCGAGGTCAGTGTTTTTCTTTGATTTTGGTTGAGTTGCAGCGATTTCATTGTTTTTGTTCGAGGGTGAAGTGGGTTGGAGGGATTGACTGGGGCGAATTTTGGGTGTTGGAAATGAGAGAGAGTATGTGTGTGTGTGAGTGGAAAGATTTCTATGCAGAGAAGTGGGTTGAATTGTGTAGAAATTAGGATTTGTTGGAGTTGACGCCTAACACACGCTCTGTTCTGTTATCATAACATTCGCCTCGTGCAGGTACTTCAATAAGGGGGAGACATTGTGCAAACTGCAAGTTACATCAGATTAGGTTGATATTCAGCAGATCGATATCTACATCTTGTGAATTTTGGTAGTTGAAAACGCTTCATTCACTGAGCGCCTTCACAAAATAAATGGCACAACGACAAGGGGAATCGGTTACAGAAAGCGAAGATTCTGCTTCCGGGAAGCACACTGCAGCAGCTAGACATGAAAACGTCATGAATGGTATGCCCTTAGTTGCAAAAGAAGCTTGAATGTCATACCATTTTTCTGATATTATATGATACCATTTTTCAGTATGTACTTTAAACTGCTGTTGGTTAGAAATAGGGCGAGTGTCCGTGATTTAGCTGGATATTCAACAATTGACAGGGAAAAAGGAAAAGTCAGCTTGCATTTCGGATTCTGGAGAGTACATGATCGCATTGATGTGGCATCCAGGTAAGATTTGGGGTCAACTTGAAAAAGTGTTTGAGGTAACCCCAATTTCCCCACTTACTGCTGGTGGACGAGATCGTTTACTACATTTCTCGTTCAGCAGGTGTGCACAGAAAGTCACCTAGATTTTTACTGTGATGTGCGTTTCAGGGGCAACCGTGCCGGATTCGGTGGACCTAGCTGAGGACGAAGTTTGCAGTCTAGAATTGCCACACAAAACTTCACATCTGGAAAGTGTAGGGCTAAGGAAGAGCAAAAGGTTTGGAAATGTGTTTGGAGTAGAGATGTCACCAGATACGATCGCAATAGCCATGGTGTATTTCGTTCAAGGAATTCTCGGGCTTTCCCGTTTAGCCGTTAGCTTCTTTTTGAAAGATGAACTTCACCTCGACCCTGCCGAGGTAAGTTGGTGACCCAATGCCTCGTTCAATGATAATCTATTAGTTATTCTCTTAATATTAGATGTTTTGTACTGGAGGTATTTGCATTCAAACTTTCACAGTCATGGTGATTGTACAGAATGTGGTTTATGATTGGACTTTTTTCCCGTTTATTATTATTATTGTTATTATTTTTATTATTCTTATGAGCGTTATCAACTTTTGCAAATATACTGTTCCATGAATTAATTCATTAAATTAATTAATTTGTTTTTTCAAAGTAGGATCGTACCAGAGGAATTTGTTTCGACTAAAGAGCTTCTCAACCTTGGTTATTTCTTGCTACAGACTGCGTTCTTGACCGGCATCTCTTCTCTTCCCTGGCTAATAAAACCTCTTTATGGGTTTATCAGGTAACGCACACACTTGGACTATTTCATTATGTAGGTTAGTGCATATGACTGTAATAGAAGCTGCGAACTGTGTCAAATTTTAGCTTTGAACAGTGGCCAGTGAGTCTTCTTGCTCACAAACATAGTTCACTTAATCTTGTGTGACAGTGATGGAGTGCCATTATTTGGATACCGGCGTCGTTCTTACTTGGCCCTATGCGGCCTCCTTGGTGCATTATGTTGGGGCTCGCTTGCTATGTTCATCGACAGCAAGTACGGGGCAATGGCAGCGATACTTCTCAGCTCTTTATCGGTGGCATTTTCTGATGTAGTAAGATCACTTTATGTGCTCTTCGTTTTCAGTATGCAGGTTCTTTAGCAATGTATGTGGCGAATCCTTATCATTCTCTTGTCAGCAACTTGTAACACACTATAGAGAGGGTGTCATGAGCTTGCTTCTCTTTGAGTTCATCAGAATTCGTCTGTCTCCAAAAGCGGTTTTTAGGAACTTACTGCGAAGTTCAGTTGTTGAAATTGGGGCCTCTAGTTTCAAGAATAGAAATCTTAATGGTGAATGGATTTTCAACATTGAGATTGCTGTTAAAGTAGACACAAACATCTCATGATTTGGTATTCTTTAGTCGGAAAACATTGATTGTCGTAGCAAAAACTGGTCGAAAATCTTCAATTCCCAGTGTGCATTGAAAAATCCATTTGTGGGGCGGTTGTGTCTGATGTTGAAGGTTTGGTTCATCCAGGTTGTGGACTCTATGGTAGTAGAAAAAGCGCGGGGTGAGTCGCAGGGTGCATCTGGCTCCCTTCAGAGCCTCTGCTGGGGTTCTGCTGCAACTGGGGGCATAGCCAGCGCTTATTTTAGTGGTTACTTGGTGGAGACATATGGCACAAGGTACGCAAAGTAATGACGTTCTGGAGTTTTTGTATTTCACTGCAATGTTGTGTGTCACTTTATGATCTTTTTGGATCCTAGAGGTTCTTGAAGTAATTGAGCTTTAAGCTGACCCTTTAGGAGGCGATGGTACAGATATGTGTTTGGAGTTACAGCAGTAATGCCCTTGATTACTTCAGCAGTCGCGGGTCTTGTGCAAGAGGAGCCTTTAAAGGCACCTAGTGACGATCCAAAAGTTATGTTGTCTAAAACAGCCCAGTTCATAAGCACGTCGAAGTCACAGCTTGCTTTCTTGTGGCAAACTGTGAAGGAGCCCAGTATCTTTTGGCCAACTCTCTTCATTTTTCTGTGGCAAGCTACACCAACATCAGACACAGCCATGTTTTTCTTCACGTAAATTTTCTGACTCGTTCTTATTCATGATCGTGATAAGTTTGAACATCCCTGTGGTCTCCTTCATGTTATTTATGCCACTATTTACCAAGGGTGTTGCTATTTGTACATCCATGTGTGCAGGACTAATCATCTCGGATTTGGACCTGAATTTCTCGGGCGTGTACGGCTTGTGACTGCAGTTGCATCGCTTGTAGGCGTTGGCCTATACAACACCTACTTGAAGGATGTTCCTCTTCGCAACATCTTCTTGTGGACAACTCTGTTGGGAACGGCTCTGGGTCTCCTTCAGGTTTCTGTCTCTTCACCTTGCTGAATCTAAAAGCTGTACTTTTGATTCAAGTTGCCTCCGCTATCGGTCCTCAGCAGTTTGGTTTGGGTTTGGCCCCTGTAAATGTTTTGTACATCAAAAGCGGCGCAATTTATTTTGTACTGTTGGGATCAATGTGTCATCATCTAGACTTTTTCTATTTAATCGTCACTGTTTCTTTTCTAAAATGATCATACAGTAGTGCTTCTTGTTTGGTCTTGTACTGTATAGGGATGAAAACGAATTTGACAGTTTCAGTTAATGGATTAATCCATACTCTAAAAGCGCCCCAAGCAGTGCAGTCTGATTTCAGATTCAGCTGCTTGAACCTGTTGAACTGTGTGATGCACTCTAGTCCTCGATCCGGGTGTGTTGCTATTTTGTGAGCTCTTATATTTCTTAATTTAGGCCTGAAAGAAATTTCACCACACCACATTTATTAAACATGCGTCTCTTTAATGTGACTTTGGCCCTTCCTCTTAGACATTTCTATGAGCGCTTTTAGTGGAGAATGAACCCGCTTCTATTTTGACAAGTCAAATGCGTAGAAATAGATCTGAAGGTGCCAACATGTATATTTCTTTCACATCTACTCTAAATAATTTCTCCACTGCATCCAGGATTTGTGTTTTAAAGAACCGATTCTAATTTTTTTGCGATTTTGTTGCGGTTGCTGCAGTTACTACTTGTTACTGGTGCTAATAAGAGTCTGGGCATAAGTGACGAATGGTTTGCAATGGGGGATTCACTCGTGTTGACAGTGCTAGGCCAGGTATGTCTTGGATTTTCCCTATCCCGGAATCATGAACTAGATTTGATGATTTTATACAAGTCCAAGAATCTTCCAGTCTCTTCCATGCCTTGGACGTTGAGATCTCATGGGTTAAGGTGTGTTAATAATTTGCAGGTATCATTCATGCCCGTTTTGGTGCTAGCAGCAAGGCTGTGCCCACCAGGTGTGGAGGCAACACTCTTCGCCACTTTAATGTCTATTAGCAATGGAGGTGGCGTTACAGGGGGAGTACTTGGAGCTGGTCTTACACAATTCCTTGGCGTCACAAGCCACAACTTCGACAATCTAGTTATTTTGATCCTGCTGTGTAATGCCTCCTCACTATTCCCATTAGCGTTCCTGAATCTGCTTCCATCCGGAAGCGAGCTTGAGTCAACAGTAGAAAAGGCGGACAAGGCCCGTAGAGAGCTCGAGATTACTAAGCAGGATTAGTTTCGAACCCTTTCTCTTGACCGTCGAACTAGTCAGCTTGTTCTTACTTAGGTAGTCTTTCCCCTACTTCTACATCACAGTAAATATTATTAAGTTGTCATTTGCAATCAAGATCTCTTGGGGGTTGGAGTCATTTTAGTGAAGATTTTAATGGTAGGCCGATTTAAAGTAATTTATGTCAGAGCCCCACCAGGTTGAGCAAATTTATTGTTATCCTGGCCATTTACTAAAGAATGTAGCAACAATTGACGTTGCAAAGTTTGGACACCCTCATATAGATCACTTTTACGATCTCTTGGCTTCTGTTTTATCTGATTTGATTGATTGACGCTTCTTCATCTGGACCTGCAACTCCTGTGCATCTTGGGTCTGTATACGAGAATGCAAGTTCAATGCCACTTTCAAAAGCAGCTACAAATGTTACCACACCAACTCTGTCAGCAAAAACAAATAAAGATAATAATAATGCACACACAAAATTCTAGGTGACAAGGACCTGATCATATGATTCTATTTCTAGATAACACCATCACTGTAAAAATAAAACCATCCATCACACAAAAACTTAATTTCTCTACCAAGAACAACTTTGCATAAAAATTAAATACTTTTACAATTGTCCACCAATAAGATTTTAAAATCTTTCTTAGTTGTCTTCTCTTTACAAACCTTTTCAATTCTTCTCAACACTTTCATGGTCCTTTAAAACTATTTAAGACCTTTTCTAGTTTTCTAATAGTTTTTAGAAAAGAATTTGTGGACTACTAAGAAATATCATAATTTTTTTAAAAACTCCTCAAGAGGCTTCAATAAAACCTCATTGCTGTAGTATAAATAAGGGGCTAAACATGAAACACCTTAATTTACCTTAATTTTAGCAACACTAATCTTCTATTATTTATAGTCCTATATTTAGTCTTGTTTTTCTAATATAAATAAATAAATAAATATAAATATAAAATATATATAAATATAAAAAATATATATATATATATATATATTTTATCCCTTATTTATTTGTATTTGATAACTTTCAAAACTATTTAATACTTTAATATTATAATTTCTAAAACACCATAATATAAAATTAATGTTTTATATAAATTTTTTAAGAAATTTATAATAATTTTTTTTATTATATAATTTGTAACATAATAATAAAAAATATAATTAATGCTTGACCTTAAGGTTTTTCTTAATTTTATATTAAGTTCAGTATATTTTATTGTAGTACTTAGGAAAATTTTGGTACTACTTTAAATGTTTGTGTATTAAAATCATCAATGCACCAATTTACTAAAATGTTTCATGAATTTGTAACATGTTTTTATATCTTTTTATTCTCAAACAAATATCAATTAATCATATAATTTATTATATTTATTTTTTTATTTATATCAAACAATAATTTGCAACACTATTAAATTCTATTTTTTATTATTCTAAATTTATGTATATAACTATATATATATATATATATAGTTGTATCTAAATGAATATCTGTAAATTTAATCTAAATCTATATATATAAACGTTAAAGAGACACAGACTTTTACTAAATTGACCCAGTTCTCCCCCGTTCCCTTGTTCTCAACCTTCCCAGTCCCTGTTCCCAATGCCTGTCCCCCGTCCACAGGCCTCTCCTGGGGCAGCCCAGTCGTTCAAGCCTCGGAGTTCCACTCATAACGATGCAATCAAGCGTTCGTCACACAGTGGCAAGAGCATTGGCGACCCTTGAACGGCCAGTCCGGGTACGCACGAAACATTTTTCGCACTACGCAACCTCCGCGATTATTGTAGTGCAATTGTAGCTTGCTCAACAACTTAGCTTGTTTCGTGATGAATCATGACCTTCTAGATTCGTGTATTCCAACGTATCGCATCATGGTCCACAGCTGACTCTTTCACATACCGATGTAGCAAAAATAACATGATAAGAGAAGAAGTGTGTATCTAGTCAACAGAGATTCAAAATCTACTTTTGATCCAACCAGCTCTAATGAATAATCGCTCATTGTATTGTAAAAATTAAAATCATGGTGAAAGAGCTTCGAAGCATACTTACCGTTCGCAACAAAATGGTTTTTTAATATTCTCGACTCCTCTTCATGTAGCTCTCCATCTTCTGAGTTATGACGGTTATTTTGTTCGGGTCTGTACTTGTTCAATGCCTCTTCTTGTGCGTCCTTATTTTTCGTCCCTCGTTGCCTTCTATTACTTCCTGAGTCTTGCACACTTTACCCACGTTCTTACTCCCTTCATCCTCCAGCTGAGTGCTACCATAAACTTCTGCAAAGAGAGTAGAAGTTTTTGTTGCAGCATTCTCTTCTTGCAGAGTGGAGATCTCGCATGTCCCTTGCCTTAAAAAAGTGGCACTGTTGTAGGTCACAAAGAATCTTATTTATGAGAAAATGCTTGTAAATCTGCCGGTGGTAGACTTTTTCTTCAATAGTCCCCCGAGTAATCAAACGTCGGGTCCTCAGACCAGTTTTTGTCAGTCCAGGTGACAATCTTGAAATGAATCATGCATGTTTTAAAAATACTAAGTATTTCAGTATGTTTTTGAAAAATATGCCACTACATACATCGTCGTCATCACATTTGTTGTCATAAGGCAAGCAATCCCCATTAAGCTATTAGCTTTGTTCATGAAAGCAGAATAGCTTGAACATAAGGACAAAGAGCTGGTTGAGTATGATTGATGCTACCTACAACTAGATTTGCTTCCAAGGGAAGCCCTCTTAATTCCCACATCAGAATGTCGGTTTGACATCAGCTGACAATCCACCATTGTACGAGAGTGATGGCCATGAAAGTTATATGCCTACATACTCCCATGAGGACTTCAAGGCTCGAACAACTGGGCTGCCCCATGAGAGGCCCGTGGATGGGGGACGGGCACAGGGAATAGAGATGGGGAGGTCGGGAATGGAGGAACTGGATCGATTTAGTAGAAGTTTGGGTTGCTTTAACATTTCCCTATATATATATATATATATATAATTTTTTTTTCACCAAATTCATCCAAAGAATAATTATAATGCCCAATAATCATGTTGAGAGATGATAACATTTTCTAACTATTATTCTAAAATTTAATTAATTGCTTTGGTTTTATTATTAATTTTAGATAAAATTATATTCTAAAATTTTAGTAATAAATAATTAATAAATTAAAAAGATATATTAAAAATTATGTATAAAAGAAAAATAAGAGAAATAAATCAAATAAAATCATTTAAGAATAATGATTGAAGAAATTCAGCAATAGGTTTTGAATCATTGTGAAGGAGGATCATTTGATGAATTAGTTCCTCTACAAAGACAAATGTATTGCATTGAACAACTAATGCCATATACTTCTTTCCAAAAACAAAGGAATTATTGATTTATTGCTCCTTTATGTTTTTATGCATGGCAAGAAGTTTCAAATTCATTCAAAGATATATTATTACAAATAAACCACGTTTTTTAATATACTCCAAATTTTAAAAGAATAAATATTTTTTATAATTTTAATCTTCATAATTAAGCCAAAAAGGCAAGAGAAGCACGAATAACAACCACCTTCAAAATCACCCATGGAAGCTATTATTCCAAATCCTACTTATTTTTTTGTTTTTTTTACCAACTCTACCAAAATATTATATATCTACACTACATTAATTATGTGGATTTATGAATAATCTTAAGACCTTGTATAATAAAAAGAGCTCAATTAAAGCCATTTTCAAAAAATAAGGATTAATGACTCAAATTACTCTAACAGTTCTACCAAAATCCTAATCGTAATTCCGACTCTAAACCTCATAAGAATTGTGGTTTTTTTTATTTATATTGTAATAATTCTGCAAATTTCATGTTTGTTGATTATCAAGCTTTGGGGACTCAAAGGAACTACAAGATAAATGACAATGGAAGGAAATGCTCCAATAGGCTTTGATTTGCAATTCTTACCATTTTCTTTTTTTCTTTCTTTTCTTTCTTTTTTAATTTGGTATTATAGAATTTTAGTGATATAATACATTGGCTATGCAATTAGGTTTTAGTATTGTGGGCACTACAAATTTTTATCTAGCTTTGATGGTGGGCATAGCTAAATATCCACTCGAAAGTGTTGAGAGATTTAGTCAAATATTAGTACTTGGTGGAGTTTTATAAGCTTAATATTGTGATTTCATAAACCACGGGTTCTTCTTCTTTTTTGTTTTCTTTCTTAGATTTCTACTTCTAATGCCTAGCAATAAGCCCATGCACTCCAATCTATTTATTGTATCAATGCAAGAAGCTACAACTCTATGTTAGCACAACTTTGATGACAAATCCATCACACTTTGTGATGAAACTATGTTCCAATGTCATTCTAGTTGTTTTTAAAAGAGCCCTTGTATATTTAAGTAATGTAGATTAGATTGTATAAAATTCATTTATTTAATTATTTCTTTATTTACAAGTAAAATATCATACTCAGTATGCTCTCATTTATTCATTTTTGGAACTCATTTACTCATTTGTGGTATGTGTTTTATTCATTTTTGGAATTCAAGGATTGCATATTATTAGTTAGATATTAATTTAAATTAAACTCTTATTTCTAATACTACCATCAAAAGAGAGTAGCTCAAATAGTAGAGCAATAGCTCATCTTTGAGTACTCTAACCATAACTCAATTGATAGAGTCCAAAAGCACGACTTTGTTAGTTCAATTGGTTAGAGGAAATAATAGAACAACAGCAAAAGCAAGTAGGGCTCCATGAAATGTGGAGCCACATACAACCTTCATATCCAAATTTTTTGGAATGCTAGATTTTTGATAGATTCATGAGCGTTTTAATACACAAGAATTGGCAAAGTATCACAATTCTCTAAAAGATTATAACACAATAGTTTGTAGTGGATTTTAAGTAAGTGAGCATAGATCCAAATTTTGTGGAAAGCCAAAACACTAGCAAATTTTATAACCAATCGCGTTAGAGTGGTCTAAAATCTTTAATTCTAAAATAAACAAAATCCATAGTAGTGGATTAGAATGTATTATATTATGAACAAAAAGATCAATAGCAAGCGTAGAAAGGTAAGACCAAGTAGTACTCTAAAAGAACTAGTACATACATTATTCAGCAAAACACAGACCACACTGACAGCGGGTGCAAGACAAAGAATTTGAATGGAACCAAATAAGAAATTAAATATAGAAGCAACACATCAAGCCAACCATCAAATAGATCTCTATCCTAAATTCATGCATAGAAATAGAAGATAGTTTTGAGAGCTTTTATAACATAAATTCTT